TCCTATATTATCTAAAAAGCATGCCTAAATATTAACCAAGCTACCATCCAACTCAAGGGTTGATGGCCTTTTGTCTTCATCTCATCCCCTTCATCGTCATGTCCAAGGGGAACCATCTAACAAATTTGAAAAATAAGAAGTGACCCAAAGCCTAGTAAATGAAATTTCTAGGTTAAAGTTAAAGGATCATATTACCACTCAACCTGGTACAAAATAACGTGAGCATGTAACAAGCAAGCATGTATGCCGAGTACATATGTAATGTTTTACCTTTCCTTATAATGATATGCTCAAGTAATATGACAACATTGCATATTATCATTTCTCTCATGTACATGCGGATGACATAACATATTTTGATGTAAGGTAACCACCAATTAGTTCGTTCATTGATGTGAGTGCCTATATGTATTTATATATGCACATAAACATGCATTTGGTATTTTACTTCTCTTTCCAAATACTCCTAGGATATCCTAACACACGGGATATCTCCACTCTAAGGCATCCCGATACACCCTCTGGGACATCCTGACACACGGGGCATCGTCAACATTAATTTATGGGCGACGAAAAACATATTGTTCTCATACAAGCCATGATAAATAAGTATTTACATGCATTTCAATACATATAGTCACCTTATTGTTTCATCACATATTCCTCAAAACAATTAAATGCATTAGTCAAACAAACAAGTAAGAAGCAACACGTGATTATACTCAATAGATGGTTATACTCATAAGCTGGATATATACATTAGTGGTTATTGTATATAAGCAAGTACGTGAATATATTTAGGAAGTAAATCTAATCAAGCAAATGAATATATTCGGACTAATGAATTTACTCAATAAATGAATACATTCAGGAAGTGAATCTGATCATACAAATGATTATATTCGGTAAGTGAATACATTCAAGAAGTAAATCTAATCAAACTAATAAATGTACTTAGCAAGTGAGTACATTCCGAAAGTGAATATGATCACACAAATTAATATACTCAGTAAGTGAATACATTCATGAAGTGAATCTAATCTTTCAGGAAGTGAATCCGATCAAACAAATGAATATGTTGAGACAAGTAAATATATTTAGTAAGTGAATACATTCAGGAAGTGAATCTGATAAAACTGAATATATTTAGAAAGTGACTATGATCAAACAAATAAATATACTCCGTAAGTGAATATATTCAAGAAGTGAATCTGATCAAACTAAATTATTCAGAAAGTGAATCTGGTCAAACAAACGAATATGTTCAGATAAGTGAATATATTCAGGAAATGAATCCGATTGAAGTGAATCTAATCAACGAATATAAGATGGATATTACCAACAACGGTTGAATATGAAATTACAGAAATAACACTTCCAAGTTCAAATTCATCATTTTTACATATGACATAAGGGTATGCAATTGAACCGGGTTTATCCAGGAACCGGATCGGACCACCCGAAAAACAAGTTTGGGAACCGGTTCCTGTTTGAACTGGTCCGGAAACTGGTTCCATTTTTTGGGAACCGGTTGGAACTTGTCTGGTTCTTGGTTCCAAGTGAAGACCCACCCGGACCGATTTTGGAACTAGTTTTAGCTTGTTTAAAAAAAAAACCATAGATCATACTATTACTATATTTTGGATTATTGCTTTTGATGGATAGTAATTTTTATTGCTCATCTTAGGGATTGTTGCTTTTGGCGGATAGTGATTTTTGTTATTCATATTTTACTTTGAATCGTTTCATTGCTACTCATATTATTTTGCCGGAGAAAATGAAACCAGAAAAAAGGAATAAAAGAAAAATAGGTTCTTGGGTTGACCATGAAACCGGACCGGAAAAATAGGATAGGTTCTAAAACGGGTTTCAGGGCAAATAGGGTAGGTTCCAGATTCTAAAAACTAGGAACCGGTTATAACATGGTCAGTTTCAGGTTCCAGGTCTGGAACCTACCCACCCTGAAACCGATTACCCCTAAATGACATGTTACTACACATTAAGAAAAGTGATCAAACACATTTAATGAACGAAATCAACGAGATAAATCCAATAGTCACAACATCTTGACACTACTATTGCACATACTCAGACTTAACGTCAGATTTAACCCAAGACCCAAATTTGCACACAATAAGCAACCAAGTCAAGAGCCCTAAGTACATCTAGCTAACACCTAAAGTTTTCACTTACCTCGAACCACCTTGTGACTCTTGAAAGATAAAATCCAAGATCAAAAGTAGAAGAAATTTTCTTTTGAAGATTGAAGGTAAAGTGATATGGCCAAGGTGAAAGTGAGTCTGAATTAGCATAAGTCTACGTGTGGCAATATCTTACTTAATCCATGGCCATGTGGAGTATAAGTTGATGACTAATGTGTTAAGGAAATGATTGCTTGGTTTTAGGTGTCACATTAGCATGATGGTCTCACTTTGAAAGAGACATATGGCTCTGCATGTATTCTTAAAATAACAAGTGAGCATTATGTGTCCAAACTTAAGAGAACAAAAGGCTTAACATAAAATTCTTTTAAAGGACAAGAGGCTAACACGTGTCTTAATAAAGGAAGGTTGAGAGTGATCATGGCGAGGAATGAAATCCTTCACCTTCGGCCAAATAGGTGGGTCTTTGTTAATATAAGTAAATTGTGATTAGTATTAATTAACTAAGGTTAAAAATTAATAATTCATGACACTTGAATTTACCAAAATAATTAGTAAATCATACCAAATGCTCAAATACTATCAATTTATTAAATTCAAACTCGATGATCATTACAGACCAAAAAAAAAAACTCGATGATCATTAAAAATATAATTCAAAAAATATCCATCCCCATCAACAATTAAGATGACGGTAAATTAATTGACAACACTCTAACCATCATCGTATACGTCAACGTTTATCAATTTAATTTCAACACGTCAGACTCTAGACAAGTACGTTCGCGGGAAATCATCCTCCACATTCTCGTACTTTGCAAGATTAACGGTCCACCGAGATTTCTACATGTCAACCCGAATTACAAGCTAAATAATACTTAACTTTACAGTCTAAGCATTATTATTGAACACAGAAAATTCCAGATGTCTCAAGCCGAGCCTCAATGGACCCGAGGCCGGGCTCCAGGGACTTAGGCCAGGCCTTTGTGGACCTAGGCCGAAGAGCTAGAGAGCCGGGCACAAGCACTGAGTTCTCGAGTTGGGCTTTGGTGGAACCAAGACCTATGCTTGTGCTCGTGCCCAAGAGCTGGGGATCCGAGCTCGAGACCTCGATGTCTATGCTAGGATCCTTGGCTACCCATACACAAGTCATTAACACCTGAATAGTACATATTTATTTAGTTGACGGAAAATATTTTTCGGTTCATTTTCAAGTTTAAGTCATACATCGGAAAATGACTTTCCAAAATATATTTTTCAAAAATGTGATATTTTTCGCGAAACAAACGGAGCCTTAATAGGAGATTTTTTTTTTTTCAGGATGAAAGATTGCAAATAATTTTAGAGTGTCAAACATAAACGATTTTATGAGTGCCCCTTTTATCTTTTCAAAAGAAGAAAATTGTACAGGATTTGGAACCTAGGGGCGATTATTATATGGTGATGATGGAGCACAATTAAAAGAAGAAGTAAGATAGGTACATTATTATTTCTATCTTCTTGGGCAAATGTAGTTGTGCGAAAATAAAACTAGTGAAGGCAGTCATTTACAGAAAAAAAAAAAAGGCAATCATTACGCAGACTCGGATTGAGCCTAAACTTTTGTCAAAGTCCGCTTATAATAAATTTTCGTGTGTAGATTTTTTTTGCAAAATCGAATTTAGCTCCGATCCAACCAAATTAGGTCGGACTTTCACATTGTTTGCGCTTATCCAAGTTCGCAAAAAAATAAAAAAACGTCTTTCATGCTCTCGTGGCTCGAGCAATGTCTAGGCAATGTACCCGGTCACGGGGACCGTGTTTAGGTCTAGGTATTAAACTCGATCACCGATCCGAGGATTCGTCAAGCTCGCCTAGGCTTGAAGCACAATTTCGGTGGGTTTGTGCAATTGCACTCCTTCCTAGGGTTAAGTCCATCCCTTAGGCCTAATCAAGCTCCCCAAGCTTAATCGTTCGATGTAGCCAATATAATGTTGGGTGGACCTAAGTAAAGACCTTTGGGCTTAATCATCGGGCTCCCCCATCGATTAGGTTTAGATGGCATCTATAGGTGAGACGATTTTAAGAACACCCCATTTCCAAAATCTCGTGTCTTCATTCGATTTTGATGGGCCTGCCACAACATTTCATAAATGCCTCCACTTTAACATTTTTCAGATTGGTGTCTACAAAGTTGTAGCTAGAAGTGGATAGTGAGCATATACATAGATATATATACACACACGTGTTACATGCATTAGAAGCCATAAAAGAATTTAGATACGTACAGGTAATTTTATTTAGGGACAAGTGAAAGTGACATTTCATTATTGGGTTAGTACTACGAAAAACCTCAAACGGTACATCTGTGACAAATTTACCCAAAACTAATTTTTTGACAATCAAAAACCCTAAACCGATACATTCGTGACAAATTTACCCTCCGTTATTTTCCGTTAAATTTGATTAATACCACGAAAAATCATAAATTTGTATATCTATCATAAACGAAGGGTAAAACCTCAAACGGTACAACCGTCAATTGCGACGTGTCATCCAACTCGGCAATTTAACTAAAAAATTTAACGGAAACTAGCGGATGGTAAATTTATTGCAGGTGTACCATTTTGGAGTTTTTGATAGTCAAAAATTAGTTTATAGTAAATTTTTCGCAGATATATTAGTTTAGAATTTTTTATGGTATTAATGCTTGTTTTTATTTTCCTGGGAGTTTCAGTTTTTTAGCCGGGTCGGAGCTCAACGGGTCGGGTTCACCGAGTCGAACCATACCGGTTCGAAACTCCCCGAAGTTTTGGCAGGTTTTTTGGTTTCACTAAAATTCTTCGGCAACTAAATAAACCCAAAAATCACCGGTCACCGGTTGCATCCCGCGCAACCCCCTCCACGTCTCGATTCTCGCGAACCCTCGCTCGCCCTTCAATTTCGCGTCGGACCTCCATCGCAATCCATGGAGCTCCAGAAGGCCGATGCAGCCGGCGGCGGCGGCGGCGGCGGCGATTCCAATTCTAGGGTTATGTCGTCGTTCGTCAGGTCCGGCGACCGGCAGGTGTTCTCGGTGGAGCTCCGGCCCGGCGAGACCACGATTGTGTCCTGGAAGAAGCTCGTCAAGGACGCCAATAAGTCCGACAACGGATCCTCTTCGTCGGCCGCGCCGGCCGAGGTCCCCGCGGCGGGCGCCGGCGCCGGCGCCGCTCCTTCCTCCGCCGCCCACGCGGCTCTCGAGCCTCGCGTCGTCCCGGTAAACCTTCCTTTTCTTTTCTTTCCCGTGCGTTTCTGGTGCAATTCGATTGGTGCGACTTGGGGTGAGAACGTGTTTGGGGTTTCTGTCCTTTTGGTGCCGCGAGTGTATTCGGAGTAGGGGTGCGTGTGATTGTCTTGATTGAGCCTGCGTTCGAGTCGGAGTTGTTTTGTTGTAAAATGGAGCTCATTTTGCTTGTGCCCCAATTTGGCAGCGTCCAACAGAAATGGCGTACTTCTGTATTTGCAGTGCGTACTTAGTCTGAAAGTTTGGGGTTCTGAACTTCTGATGCAATGGGTAAACAGAAGTCTATTGGTCGCAGTGTACAGTTAGCTGGATTTCGGGCAGGTTGAAACCGGTACTGAATTCGGAGTAAGAATTAGCTGCGGATTTTGCTGATGGATAGGCATGGATAGGCTTCAACAAGTAGTCCTAGCGGAATGCGTGGCTTGTGCTGGTCCACGAGCTTAAGGAAAAGTCCTGCTACTTGGAGGACTCCCTTGTTGCCTACTGACCACTTAATAGGTGTTCTAGTGCCATATTGTCTGCATTCTGTGATGGGTCGCATTGATTGACCCCCGTGGATATGTTAACTTAGACCTGAAGTTATCTATATGTATGAGGTCAACGGCCCGACACGCCAAATGACGAGACAGATATATACCAAGTCCTTCCTGTGACTTTTGCATCGACTTAGATTCTCACAGATGATTGTTGGTCTAGCTCCAATAGCTATATATCTGTGGATAGTTATAGCATCTGCATAAGGAGGATCTGTGGTTAACACAAGTTGTTGCATAGTTCTTTATCGTGAGATCTGCTAACCTGGAATGAACTTTTGGTAGGATGACTACTTTTTGACAAAATTCATACGGTAGTTTTTTAAAATGCTTTGCAAAAAGTAAGCCCAGAATTTTTGTCTTGATTAAGTGGGAAATGCTTTCATCTGGTAGATATGTTTAATCTAAATAAGGTAATTTGAGTCAAGTTCTATATTTCGATTCCTCTTTGTAGCTCCACAACTCTGTCTCGATCGATTGGCTTTTGAATCTATTGTCAGCGTACATTTTACATGAAATAGCACTGTTAGCATGTTGTCCAGTACAAATTGGATTTTAAATGTCTACAGGGACAGCCAGTGGAACGCGAAACAAAAGAAGCTGCTCCGTTAAATAGTTTCAGCGCTGTAATTGAAAAGATAGAGCGGCTTTACATGGTATGTAGTGCTCTTGCCCTCTCTTGTAAATAGTAGGGCAAACCATGCATTTGTTGGTATTACTGGAATGGCCACTTTTATCGGATTGCTTGAAAGTGATTTTTTCCTGCCAAATTGGTGTACATGCTAATACTGGAATGGTTCATTTCAGGGTAAAGACAGCAGTGATGATGAAGATTTAAATGATATTCCTGACGAGGACCAATATGACACAGAGGATTCTTTTATTGATGATGCTGAATTGGTTGGTTTTGAATAGTTTACCTTGCATGTTGCTTTCTTCTTCTTGAAATCTTCTTGTCAACAGCACGAGCAAATAACTTTTATCTCTTCAGGATGAATATTTTGAAGTAGAAAATGCAGATATAAAGTACGATGGTTTCTTCGTCAATAGAGGGAAGTTGGAATGCATGTGAGTTTTCTTTTTCCCCCTGGTATCGATATACTTTTTCCCCTTTAGCTTAAACTCGCCTTTCACTTTTTTTTGTCTGTTTCTTGTTGAGATGTTATTTTTATAATTGAAATTGAATTCTTTTTTGGTCAATGGTCATAACTCTTCATACTTGAGATAGAAGCACAGTTCTAGTTTGGACCGTCAAACAACGAAATATGCCAATATTCTGACAAAAAATTCAATTTTGAACCTGCAAATTTTCCGAACATAGCATATCAGACACTGAGAAGGTGGAATGTGTATATGGGCCCTGACTCTTGCCTTAGGAATCGCTTTGCTTATTTGGAATCACTTCATTCTAAGACCTGTTTGTCAAAAAATTACTCTTTCTAATCATCTTCAAATTGATGTGGCAGTCCTTTATATGTTTAATTCCTAAATTTAGAGGCCAATATATTTTACTTCACTGAAGTTTGGAATGATTAGTTTTTGGTTTCTTGCATGAGGAATTAAGGTTCTGCTTTTACTCATTCAGCCCTTATATATGATGTCATTTAGATTTTATTGTGGGATTGTATAACAAATATTCCTATGCTATTGCTGAACCCCACGTAAAGTGCTTCAAAAAACTCGCTTCACTTTCTTTTGGCCTTCTGTTTCACCAGAAACAAACCCACCGTACCACCTAATCAGCAACCAAAGAAAAGGCGAAGAAGAGATTTTGCTAAGAGTAATGGAGAGAAAGGTGATGGTTTTGTACCAAATAAACATGTTAAAGTGGACAAGCCTGGTCCTGTAAAAGCTGCTACATTGGCTGGGAAGCATTCTTCCAATCCTTCCCAAAGTTTGGTCAGTGAGCCTAATGAGAATGTGAAATCACAAAACCAGTATTTATCTGGAAGCAGTTCAAGGAAGAAATCGGCTGACTCTAAGGTGATAGTAGATCCGGCTCCATCAGCAAAAGTTGTGAATGGTGATACCTCAGCATCTCTAACAGATACCAAGGATATTGACAAGCACAATATGGGAAACCTCCAGTCTAAGAACCACAGTGGCAAGTTGAAAGACCCCAGCGGACCCTCAGATGTTTTGCCTCATAGACACCACGACAAAAGTGGATTTTTGCAGCAATCTGGAAGACAATTGAAAAATGTTGATGACCTGGAAGCATCAAATAGGTCTAAGGAAAAGAGCAATATTCGTGAAGTGCCTGACTTGAATATGCCCGATGGCAGACATGCTATTGAAATTTCTGTAGGTTCTTTACTCTTTTCATTGTTTTCTCCTGAGTGTTCGAAGTCAGAAAATTTTCGACTAAAATATATGCAGAATGGATACGTCTATATCTTTTTCTGTTTCTTAAACACAGTCAAGGTGCTTGACATACTACTTTTTAGTTGCCTGATTCTGTATGTCTTATTTGGCAGAAACCTTCACATTCACACAGGAAGGATGGTTCCAGTTTTAGGCCAAAAAGCTCAATGCTTGAGAAGGCCATTAGGGATTTGGAGAAGATAGTTGCAGAATGTAAGCATTGAAAACGTGAACTAATTTCTCTATTTTGAAGATGTCACTTTATTTACTCCATTAAGCACCTCCTTTGTTTTAACAATACAGCTAGGCCACCTGCTGCAGAGAATCAGGATGCCGATATTTCATCCCAGGGGGTGAAGAGGAGATTACCAACCGAAGTAAAGCTGAAGCTTGCTAAAGTTGCTAGGCTGGCGGTACAAATGAAAACCTACATGACTTGAATCCTATTTTATATCTTTTCTGCACCCCACTGACAAGGGAAGTTGCATAGACTTCTTGTTGACTTTTTTGCTTGACTATGAATTGATGCCATCATTTTTCATTATTGCAGCAGTCAAGTCATGGAAAAATATCCAAGGAGCTAATAAATCGCCTAATGAGCATTCTTGGCCATTTGGTACAGCTTAGAACACTAAAGGTAGATAATCTCATGTTGCCAGTATTATGAGAATGTTTGTGACTCTCACTAAAGCAGCAGGGAATTCTGATAATCTTGACTTGAGCATTGTATGATCCATTTTTGGCTCCTCTTTTTGTAATTCAGATATCTGTTTGGTACGAAGTTTGAACCTTTTGAGAGAAACCAGTCTCTGTCTCATGTAACGTTTGGATTATTGACATGGGTGCATTCTCATGTTGTTTGCAGCTATTTGTTGAAATTCTTGACTCTTACCCTCTGAAAATACTTTTCTGATTTTGTAATATCGTCCAGTCTTTGGAATGACACTCTTGCATCACATCACAGCATTTTATAGGGTGCAATTACAGGACACATAAGAAATTTTGGCCAGTAATTTTAATTTAAAAATCAATTTGTCAATCCATGATGGATGAGCTATCAAGTATAAGTATCCCAATGTATAGTTGTCTGTTTCACAGTGGTATTATATGTCACAGGGCAATAAGGTATGGGTTTAGCTCTTTAATTGCAGCCATAGTACAAAGAGAATAGCATGCGAACTACTATGCCATTTATATAATCACATGAAACTGGCTTGAGTTTCTTTTAGGACGAACCTTTTGTGGGCTATCTGGTCCAGTAGTTTGATTTACAATATGTCATTGCTTCGACTCAATGAATCTTTTTGTTTAATTGGCCATGATTATTGATATGGCAAGTATTTTCAATTCAAGATGCAAATTGTTTGGTGTTATGGCCTTGAGCATGTATGGGTTCCTACCAGTTTGGAAATCCGAATGTACTGGTTGGTTTAACTGGATGTTTTTGATGTCTGCTCCGTATTCGTCCTAACCTGGCTGATCAACAACTGGATGGGAAGTATCCTCACCTTTTCTCAACCACTCCAAATGACCTATTCTGGGACAACCCGAAGTGATCTTGCAATGCGAGCATCCCTAGTTGTGTTCTTCATCTCCATCATCAGTTCAGCAGTCATGAGAATCAATCAAATCCAATACCAAACCTTCACAATTAGTTTATTGAATGAAAGAGAAAATATTGAGAGGCAGTTGGGTTTTGTTTGTATGATTTTTGCTAGAGAGAAGGTAGAGAAGGAATGATAAGAAGAGAAAAGGAAGATATCCCCACGAGCGCGCCCGGCACACAATCACAGAGAGAGAGAGAGAGAGAGAGAGAGAGGATTCCTGGGATGAAGGGGAAACTTGTTTTGGTTGTACAAAACCGAATGAATCGAAGCTGAAAACCAATGGTTATCAGGTGAAGATCATTTACATTTACCAACTATGGAAGATTTGGCAATTAAATTGGTTGAGCTGCTTAAATTGCAAAATGTCTCATGACTGGTTTGTTTGCCAGTTCTGATTCATATGTCACTATATTGAGTATCATCTCTTTCATCTAAGGACCATTATTCTGCTGTTGCCATTATTAATATTACGTTCATTAATCTGATAATATTCTGCTGGAATTTGCCTGGAAAGAAGGTCATTGGCTTCATATTCTATCATATATTTTGTTGCCAGCTGTCAGTGAATTCTTAAATTGTCATCTCATTGCTTTGATATTTTGATATTTTTTGGCGCATTTACTGTTTCCTGTTTATGTTATGCCTCTCATAACTCTGTTACTGATGCATTTTGTTGGTTCAGAGAAACTTGAAAGTCATGGTCACTATGGGTTTGTCAGCAAAGCAGGATAAAGAGAATAGGTTCCAGCAGATTAAGAAGGAAGTTGCTGATATGGTTCGCATGCGTATTCCCTCTTTGGAAACTAAGGTATGTTTGTTTGAGTCTCTCTCTCTCTCTCTCTCTCTCTCTCTCATGTGCTTGCTCGCACAAGGTGCATACTGTAGAGGAGTGCCTTTGATTTTGAATGCTTCAGTGAATGTGAAGGTTGAACATGTAAACATCTTTCATTCAAGTCTTATAAACTTTTTGGGGGTCTACCTTTAAAGAGTGATATTTCTCCACTGACAGTTTGAACATGGAAACATCTCGCATTCAAGTCTTATAAACTTTTTGGGGGTTACCTTAAAAGAGTGGTATTTCTCCTGTGGTAGACCTGTCAAACAGGTAGGTCTGATGGGTTTCAGTGGATCAAAAATGGGTTCGACCCAAATTGACCCATTCAATCCATATTGAATATTCTATGAAATATATTTCAGCAACCCATACCTGATACCACTGGACCCCACCCGTTCGCAACCCAATCTGTGCTCCAATTCTTCGCAAATTTTCTCCCTTAAATATGGAAATTAGCATACTAAAAAAAACTAACCAGTTAAAACAAATTACATATAAACAGAAATAACAAATGAGAAATTACTAAAATAATTGTCAAATCAAGCTACTAAAACACATCTCTTGTTATTTCTCCTGGTGCTAGAAGTTTGAAACTAACCTTTTTCTTTATCTTTTATGTTAATGTGAGTTATTTAAGGAATTGTATTTTGAAAGATCTAAATATACCTCAAATCAATGTGCATCACTTATATAGGAAAAGAAAACTTTCTCATTGAGGAATGTTTGTGCAATGGAGTCTGTAAAAAAAGGACTTTAATCGTGGAAATGATGAAAAACGTCAATTACGAACTCTTGAGCATTACGAGGAAAGGAAGTTCGGTTAGTTGCATATAGGATTGGCCCAAATTGCTGGGGTGAGGGCAAGTCATGTTCATCGGAAGTCCTATGTAATAATAATTCCAATGTGTTCGTAATTTTTTAAACAAGGATTAATAAATTATTGTGGGGCAAATTTATATATCGAGTTAATAACTTTTCAAGTGTATTTAGTAAGGATCATAGGACCATATTAAAACCCAATTAATGAATGCAAATTTTAACGCAGAAAGAAAAAACTTGTCAACAATTATTTGTCTCTCTCATCAGTCATCACAATGAAGCAGGAGATAGGGCCATGATGAAGAGCGTGGACGGCTCGTTTGATGCGGAGCAACCGCCCAAGTGCGGAATATGGGTTGAAAGTGGGTATGTTAGACTCATTAAAACCCATATCTAGTTGGGCTTTGCTACTCTAAAGCCATAACAACCTGTTCTTAAAATTTTTACCAATACAGATAATACCCAGCCTACTAAAGTATGAGTTAAAAAATGGGTTGAAGACCCATTTTGCCACCTTTGCTTGGGATAGACTCAAGGCGTGTTAAGGCTGAAGAATTTTTCTTGCTGATTCCACTGGGTTAGAGGGGCGGCTTTTAAGGTTCACATTGTGTTGAACCTTTTTGCTTCATGTTTCCTCAACAAAACCCCCAATGCACACCCACCCACTCCACCACCATATAATCAAACACATGCTCCACACAAAAGAAAATTGAAATGACATGTTTTAGCCTTCGCCAATTGAAGGGCCTCATCGGTCGTGTCACATAATTTTCTTCATAACTTGACATATTTGATTTGCATTGAAGACTTTTCCCTGACACATAGCTATTTCAGCAATCGTATTTTCTCAAAGCCGCATTTAGATCTTGGATTTCAATTTCACATAGGCTTTGTTTCAACATGAGATGCTGTATATTACCTTGTTGCCAGGCTCTCTTATGAAGCATTAATCTGAGCTTGGGTCCCCCCTTCTCTTCTCTCTAATTCCTTCTGTTTTTATTGTTCTTTTTTTTTTGTTGGGTTCGGTTGATGGGAGGAGAGTGACACTGTGTCAGATGATTTCTTTGAATCTTATCAGCTATGAAGCTCAGAGTTATTTCCTGTCCCTCACTGCCCCCTTCTTTTCACGGCTTTCACTGATGGTGCATATGACCAGGCAAAATTGAATGATTTGTCATCTTTAACGGTTTCTTTGGGTGACGTGGCTGACTTGTTAATGGCTTTTTTACCAGATGTTATCAATGTTTGATGCAAAGGGTTGAGAAGAATTTGCTTTTTGTTGGTTCCTTAATTGTGGTTTATTTTATTGCATTGCTTACCAAAGTTATCATTCTCCGTCAAATATTCAGGCTCTACAGCATCAGTCTGGAGCATCGGATGATTTTCAGGAATCGGAAGAAAAAACAGTCCCTAAAAGACAATATGATATGGATGCTGCAATGGAGGACAAGATTTGTGATCTCTATGACCTTTTTGTTGATGTACATATTTCGTCTGCATTTTTTATACTGCCTTTTTCAAGTTGAAACATGCTTTAGAAAGCTACTTATAATCGTAATTGTCTATTTGATTTCATGCTTTCAGGGTCTTGATGAGGACACCGGTCCGCAAGTCAGAAAATTATATGCTGAGGTACCACTTGCCCCAAAAACTAAAAATTGCTCTTCGTACTGCTGTCTAGCTGCTATAGACATGTTGCAATCTTGTTTTGACGGTTCATCCTTGTGAAATGTTCACAAAACCATCATGATTGTGTATATTGCCATAGTTTGCAGGAAATAATAGCTGGATGTGGGATCAACTGCATTTACGTGCTGGTCTTTGAGATATTTTATGGTCACAGTTGCAAGCATGTTCATATAGTGGTCAGACATGGTGATGATTTTTCTGATGTGGGTTTCACACGCAGTGTTAGTTTATGATTTATTTATGCATTTTTATGAAATTATGCTAGCAGCAAATCTGCCTTTACCTTGTTCTGAATTAATAACTAATCCATGAGTGGACAGTGCAACCTGCCTTTTGAAAGGGCTGCGGTTCTCAACTTTAGACCTCTGTGAAGTCGTTTCAAGTAAACATTTTGATGATAATCGTGATAGCATGCATGATGAAATGCTGGGAACCCACTGAATTGGTTGGCTTGACTTGCTATCTTATATGATCTCTGTTTATTTATTACCTAGGTTTTTACCTGCATCCACTAGTCGGTTCTGAGGCTTTTGTCAGTGTAATGTCTTGACTTTTTGGAGACTTGGTACAGCTTGCAGAGTTGTGGCCAAATGGTTTTATGGACAATCATGGTATTAAGCGTGCAATTTGTAGGGCCAAAGAGAGGCGAAGGGCACTTTACAGCAGACACAAGGTGATTATTTCTACTTTCTTCTGCCAACTTTCTTTTCCACGAACTGAAAGAGAACATGTAGTGCTTGGTCAAAAGGGAGAACGCCAATTTTTTTTTGTATTTTACCTGCTTGCCACCTGACTTATAACATAGTTTTCCTTCAAAGTGATTATATTTGTCTTTGCTTATTCCACCTATTGCTTTGACATGCTTTATGGGTAATTGCTACATAATACGGCTTTAATATTTCATGTGAATGGAGGAATGGTGATTCCCGAGTTACAAAGAAATCAAATTGGTTGTCTGCTTTACAGGATAGATTAGACATTGATAGTATAATTAATGTATGTGCCTTGAGCGGTGTAATTTATGAATTTGGAGAGCTCGTAGGGGTACGAGTATCTGCAGTTTCGCTTTTCTTGAGAATGGAGAGTAGCATCTTTCTTGTTTACTCCTGTATGTGAATTTCTTCCTAGTGCGACGCATAAGTAGATATATGCCACTAAATGGTAGCTTATGCCGTTCTTATCATCTTTTTATAGGAGGATCAAGAGAAAATGAGGCGGAAAAAGATGTTGGCACCTAAAATAGAGGAGACAGTTCGAGTTGAGGGTCTTTCAGTTGCTCAGCCACAACAATTGCCAGAGAGATTGTCTATTGATTCAGGCATTCATGGTTCAACTTCTGCTAGCAGACCTATTCACAGCCCAACAGCAGCAACTGCTAGGGTTCCCAGTCCTTCAGCAAATGTCTCCTCAGATAGAATTAAGCAAGAGAAAACCAAGGTAACTTCAAGCAGCTTCTCGGAAGATGCGAGACAGGGAGAGGCCATATTGCCTAAGAAAAAGGTTAAGAGAAAACCGGAGGTGGATTTGAATGAAATGCCTTTCCATTCAGAGAAGTTCGGAGAGGAAAGACTCGTATCTACCAAACCCAATCCCGCTCTTCCCCCTAAAATAAACCTTCAACCAACTGCAGCACCGAGTTTTGAACAGTCGAGTTAATGCTACATAGCGAGAATTAGAAAGCACACACCTTTAAGATGTCCCTTGCAACATAAGTTCATTTCCTTTTGCTGATCTTTTCAATAGCTATTTGAATTCATTTGACTGACTGGTCGTCACCGCCTTTGTAGTTAACTGGCATTGTGGGATGCCCTCATATCTCTAGCAGTGATTTCTTCGGGGCAAGAGCTGTAAATTCCTATTTGACTGAAAATTAGTTGCCTTGTTTTTTTGAGTTTATTTGGAAGATTGTCTTCTATGTCATCAATATAGAAAAGCGACCAGTGGCAGTTACCAGTCAGTTTTCCTCTTGATCGACGAGGTACTCTTGGTCGTTCTGTAATGAAGTACCTTACATGGTACGCAAGTCGGGAGCGGCGAGGCAAACAAATCGAGATTTCCTGAAACTTTTTGGTGTTTCGCTGTCTGATCGCATGGAGTCCGGTTGATTGCCATTGGATTAAGAGATGAGTTTGATCGAGCTCCTGTATTAAGGCTGACCATGGGCGTACAGATGAATCAGTTTAGCACTCCCGCTCAAGAGTCCTTAATACAAATTTGTTCAATAACTGAGCCCGATATATATTTCTGATGAACAGTGTACTTATCGTAAGGTACTTCAAGAAGCATGGTGTCATAAGCTCAACGTGATTTAGCTGCAGAGTTAATTGAAGGAACGAATATCACATCAACCGTTATACCTATCCAATTTCGCAATTCTCAAGTGCCACCCGAGACGCCAAGTACTGATTCATTGGATTTTCGGATATATCGTACTTTTGTCCCAACGTTCAATGTATGGACCAAACCACACATAGCAAGTGTATTTCCGAAGTTGAGTTGTGAAGAGGTCGATCATAAGTTGTGTAAGTGTGGGTTACATGTATCTCCATTATTGACTCTATAAGTCAACTTAAAACATGTCATGATGGATGCATTTGAGTTCTAAAACTTTAATTTCGTGCATCAAAATCCTTCAATTTAGGGTCATGCTTTTTTCACTCCCGCTATAACTAAAACACTACATATGGTAATATTTTGACAATCTTAATCTTGTGGGTCCCACTTTTTTTAAGCATTCTTTTACTTTTCTTCTTTTTTTTTGTCCCACTTTCCTTCTTCTCATTTATTTCTCCCTCTATTCTCTCTCATTCTAGAACACCACTCTCATGCCAATAATAGATAGTTTTTTATGCAAGGAGCTATGCAAGCGGAATTGAAATTTTGAAATTGTAGTTTGAGTTTAATTGTTATTGAGAAAAAGTGAGAGTCGATCATTAAGATTTTCTTTGCATCTCATACCTCTATTTTCTACACTTGGTTTCTTTGTTCGTTAGACTTGAAGTTTGAACATGGTGTGACGAGATCTTTAATTTTAGCGAATTTCGTATAAAATTCTCTACTGCATTTTAACTTGCTACATAAGTGGATTGCTTGTTGTTTTTTTTAATAAACACCAACTATTTGCTAATGCAATCTGCTTTGTTGGGTGCACGACTTGTGTCAATCTCAGTCGCCGAGCCACCATCGCCATCAATTGAGAAGGCTGAAGAGGTGTTTCTATTATGTTTCTAGGTATCAAACTCCGATTAAAGATTCAAAAACTGATGAGTGCAACGTGATCTGGATAACAAGTGATAAATACAGACCACAAAAGAGAGTGTTCTTTTTTAACAAACAGTACCAAGGCTTGATCCATGATCAGAATTAAGAGGAAATGTAGAGAAGTAAAGGAGGAGGGGGAAAACGGAACTAACGACAAAATAAAGAAGAGAACAAACGGGATACCACAAGCAAAAAAAAGGATACTTCAAAAGAGGTGGGACCCATAAAGGTTAATATGATCAAAACACCGCGATAGGAAGTGTTTTAACTACAATGGGAGTGGAAAGAGCACGACCCCTCAATTTGTTGTAGTGGTCCACGTCAGTGAGTTCTATTAGGTTTTAGTGGACGGAAAAGGCCCCGTGGCTAGAAAAAGTTACTAAGTATTTTTCATCCACTTAGGATTGTCGAAGTTAACAAAAGGACTCAAATACATCGGAGTTATAAATTTTGGGGATAAGTGCATCATAACTTTTTAAACTTATCGCGAAAGTGCAATTAAATCCTAAAACTTTCAAAAATTACAATCAAATTATAAAACTTGTCAAATTGGTTTAATCAAGTTCTTTAGTTAACTTTGTCTAACTGGACTAATGGAAAATATTGACGTGATATTTTTTTATTACTCTCTCTCTCCAACGTGACATTTTTTATTATTATTATTATTTTGCTTAAATTAGATTAAATCAATTAAAAAGGATAATTTTTTTTTAAAAGCCAAAGTACCAAAAAAAAAAAACCGAAGGAACAAGCCTCGTCGGTGGCCGCTGCCGCCCATTGCCGGAAAGGGCTGTCGGAGGTCACCTAGGCCTTTCCAAAGCCCGGCGACCCTCACTAGCCTCAAGCTAGCAAGGGTCACGCCCTCTCCCAGATTTGGGTCCCCGAGCCCTTGCCGGGGGCCGTCAAGGCCTTGCCCATGGTCGGTGAGGGTCGCCGCCAGCCATTGAGAGGCCTAGGCAACCTCCGTCGGCCATTTCCAGCGATTGGTGGGGGCAATAGCCGGTGAGGGCCTCAGTTTGTCTTTTTTTTTAAGTTCGTGTGTGTGTGCATGTTTTTTTAGCTTTTCCCTTTTTTTTTTTATCTAGTTTAGTTTATATTTATTTTTAATGACGCTTGATGGGCGCCACATCGTCACCACGTGTCCTAAGAAAATAATACATAAAATTCAAGTTAGCATTTTCCGTTAGCTTAGTTAGATGGAGTTAACGGAATGACTTGATCGAACCAACTTGACAAGTTTTAGGATTTAATTATATTTTTTGAAAGTTTTATGAGTCAATTACACTTTCGTGATAAATTTTAGAACTTCCAGTGCACTTATCTCTAATTTTGGGATTCAAATATATGAAATGAAAGTTTTGACATTCGCGTGTATTATTATGATAAATTTTAGGACTTGTTCTGTAATTGTGTTTGAAAATTTTTTGGTTGGTCATATAATCTCCAGTCGAACTCCATAAAAAATTTATCGCCGAGAAGCCCCAACTTTGGTTGCTATTAAAACATGATCCAAAGTGTTATCTATGATCCAATGTAATTTTTCTACATTTATATGGGTCCACACTAAACACTTCATGGAAAGATTCGATCCGGACAAGTATATGACTTCTTAAGGAAAATTGCCAGAAAAATCCAAACATATTTTACGAATGCCAATTCAATCCTAAATCTATTAATTTATCCAATGCAGTCCTAAATATTTTGACAACGTGGATGCGAATTGTCTTAGGCGACACGGCTGACGCTGATATTGACAATTTCTGCAAATTTTTTAATTCTTTTTGTTATTTTATTTTTTCCCTCACCGGTCGTCGGACCGAGTTGACTGGCCAGAAGAAGAAGGAAGGGAAAAAAAAAAGAAAGAGAAAGAAAATAACAAATGAAAAAATGAAAAGATAATTAAAAAATTAGAAAAAATTATTAAAAATTGTCCACGTCAACGCTGGCCGGCAAAATTAGCCAAATAGATTGAATTGGCACAAATGCAAAATGTTTAAAACTGAATTGGCACACAAAAAATTTTAGTGCTGAATTGGCAGGATTGCAATTTTCCCACCGAAAGCAGCATTAGGATCCATGTAATCGGCCCGAATGGGTCATCACATTTTGGCCAACTTGCATGCATGTGTATTAGCTTTTTATCATTTTCCACGTGAGTGAGTGTGAGCCAAAAATTTTATGCCATGCAATAGCAACACGCATCCTCGATAATTTACAACTCATTAACCATTCCTCTTTGATTTTATTCAGTCTGGTAATATCATTTCCCTTGGCGTTGTCCATTTAATTGGGTTATATACTCATATATCTAATCTTTTCAATACCTTTATTTAAGAAAAATCATCAAAAAAGAGAAAAGAGAATCCAAGTTAGAACCTAGCTAGAACCTATTATCTCATATATATATATATATCCATTAGAAGCAACCTTCAAGGAAAAAAAAAAATTAAAACCATTGAGCTATTCACCAATCGGATACGGTACCTAATTTGTTAACGTCCCTTTTTGGATGGTGCATCCACTGTCCATGATAACTTTTGGGGAAAAATGCCAAAAAAGTCCTAAACTTTTTGCATTGATGTCAATTTAGTCATAAACATTTTTTTAGTGTCAATTCAGTCCTAAACCTTTTGCATTGGTGCCAATTTAGTCCTAAATCTTTTTTTTGTGCCAATTGAGTCCTAAACCTTTTGTATTGGTGCCAATTCAGCCCTAAACCTTTTGTCTTTGTGCCAATTCAGTCCTTTCGGTCAATTTTGGACGGATTTTGCTGACGTCGACGCCGATCAGCCGGTTGGTCGGCGCTGACGTGGACAACTTTAATAATATTTTAATATTTTTTTTGAATTTTTATTAATTTGTTTCTTTTTTTTTTTTCTTTTTTTTTTCTCTCCCCTCCTTCCAGCCGGTCGCCGGACCGGCGACCGGCCGGTGGCTAGAGGCTGGCGCCGGCGAGGTTCGCCCTCGCCGGCCACTGGCGAGGGCGGCCTCGCGCTGGGCGAGGCCCGACCTCGCCGGATCCGGCGAGGTTGTGCCTCGCCCTCGCCCAGCGATGGCGAGGCGAGCCTCGCCCGCGCGAGGCCGCCCTTGCCGGCCGAGTGGGCAAGGCACGACCTCGCCGGATCTAGCGAGGTCGGGCACGGCCCGGCCATGGCGAGGCTCGCCTTCGCCGTTCTTTGGTGAGGGCGAGCCTCGCCGCGGCGGCGAGGCCGCCCTCGCCGGTGGCCGGCGTGGGCGAGCCTCGCCGGCGCCGGCCTCTAGCCTCTGGCCACCGGCCCGGCGACCGGCTGGAAGGAGGGGAGAGAAAAAAAAAGAAAAAAATTAATAAAAATTCAAAAAAAAATATTAAAATATTATTAAAGTTGTTCACGTCAGCGCCGGTGACCGGCCAGTCGGCGTCCACGTCAGCAAAATCCGGCCAAAATTGACCGGAAGGACTAAATTCGCACAAAGACAAAAGGTTTAGGACTGAATTGGTACAAATGTAAAAGGTTTAGGACTCAATTGGCATAAAAAAAAGGTTTAGGACTAAATTGACACAAATGCAAAAGGTTTAGGACTGAATTGGCACTAAAAAAAAGTTTAGGACTAAATTGGCACCAATACAAAAGGTTTAGGACTTTTTTGGCACTTTTCCCTTAACTTTTGAGTCTCTATAACTTGTAATTTGTGAAATAGCCTCGCGAATTATGTGTACGACGACACCTGTTTATGTCTCTAACGTTGCTCTTCCGCTTGAACTGAGTCACCGGTATTGATTTTTCCGGTGAGCGACGACGATGCAGGCTCATCGCCACGGCTTGGATGGGGTTTACGGTTATCATTTTTTTCATGTGTTTTTGCTACAGATAACTAACTTTTTTTGCATAAAATATTAATTTTTGGAGTTATTCCACGACTTTTTACAGAGTCCTACGATTCACGATTCGTGTGAACGATTCACACGATCGAGCAACACTGCTTTGCACTTTTAATCTTTTTTTTACTGCAACACTAGTCAGCTGCCACAGCTGTTATGTCGTGCAGTTTCGAGGCCCCATTGGAGAACTATGTTTCCTAGCTGACTTCCCTCTTGCTCGCCGAAAAGATCTAAGATATCGCAAGTTACTCATGACCATTCCGAGCACTATGCCACATACTAATCCTATTTCCACGGCCTCTGGCTCGACAAAATCTGCAAAGAACGAGTGAACCCCGCCTTTAGGCAGGACAGGAAGCGCCCCCGGCGCCCAGGAACTAGTACAAGTTTTGGACAATGGAAACCCGCACAATCTTGGGTTCCCACCGTATGATTCGGGTGGAAACGTGTTGAATTGGTTGCCCCGAGGAATCGGTCCTGTTAGTTGATTGGAAGAGACATTTAGGACTACTAGAAATGTGAGAGCCGTCAATTTGCTTGGTATCGTCCTGCTAAGCTCATTTGAAGAAAGATCCAACGATTCAAGCTCGGAAAGGTTCCCCAAAGATGATGGTATATGGCCTTTGAGATTATTATGAGAAAGGTTGAGCCCCTTGAGTGATCCTAGCTCTCCTATTACATCAGGAATCATTCCCTCGAACTTGTTGCTTGATAGATCAATGGTACTCAGGATTGCAAGGATTCTCTCGTAATGCAGGTCTTGTCCTTTCATCGTCACAATCAGGGAATCCTGGTAGTAAGCTTGGTCCATGTATCGCAACCCCGGTCCATCCTGATCAGTCGACATCATCGCTTTCAGGTTTACAAAGTAGGCGCTGGGCAAAGGACCGGTGAGCTCATTGGAGGAAAGGTCGAGAATCCGCAACTGCAGAAAGGGAAATTCGGTGCCGGGGTTGCCTATGGAGCCGTGAAGTTTGTTCGATCGCAAGACCAAGACCCGCAGGCTAGGAAGTGTTTCCAACCATATTGGGAAAGTGTCGTTCAACTTGTTTCTGCCGAGATCCAGCACTTCAAGTTGCTTGCAATTGATTAGAGAGCGCGGCAACCGGTCTTCTAATTTGTTTCCATTGAGGTGAAGACTTTTCAGGACAGCATATTCGCCAAATGTGAGTGAGATTGTGCCGGAAAGTCCATTTTCTTGCAGATCCAACACTGAGAGGCCATTGCTAATGTTCCCTAGACATTGAGGGATCATTCCAACGAAATTGTTACGAGAGAGGTCAAGAATTTGGAGGTCCTTCATTTCACAAATAGAACCAGGGATATAACCAGTCAATTGATTGCTAGCTAGCGAGAAGACGAGAAGAGAGTTTGGGAGTGATGGAGGTGTAAGCGGCCCTTGGATCAAGTTTGAATGCAGGTCAAGGATTATAAGAATTTTCCATGGAACCTGTTCGAAGCTAGTGAGGAGGTTGTGCGACAGGTCTATATATTTCACGCTGGTTGAATTTCTCAAGAATGCAGGGATTTCAGTAATTTTGCAACCAGAAAGTCTGACCTTTGAGAGGTTTGGCATGTCATGCTCGACATATTTGCTATTGCTCATTGACAAATTGTTGTCTGAAAGATCGAGATTCGTGAGACTTTTGAGTCTTGAGAGCAATTGTAGGTCTAAAACGCCGGTCAGGTTATTTGCTGAGATACTCAAGTCAGTGAGGTTCCCAAGCTGAAAAATCGAGCTCGGGATTGAGCCACACAACTGATTACCACTCAGGTCAACATGGACTAATGAGGGTGCACCGAGGAACTCGCCGATTTGACCACTGAGCCTATTGTTACTGAGGTCTAGGCTCTTCAAGGATGAAAGAGAGAACAGTGATGATGGTATAGATCCACCAATGAGGTTATTGGAAATGTCAAGTTGGGCTAGTTGGGAAAGATTCTTTATGCTCAGAGGAATAATGCCTGCGAAGAGGTTATGCGAGAAAAGCAGTTTTTGAAGTTGTGTCTTGTTGTCGAAGACATCAGGTATTGGACCTATGAGATTATTGGAGGAGAGATCGAGCAGCGTGAGCTGATCAAGGTTTGACAGAGTTGGAGGAACCTGACCACTAAGCTCATTGAATGAGAGTTCCAATCTAGTGAGTCGTGTTAGGTTACCGAGTGACGATGGAATAGAGCCAGTGAAATTACACTGGTGTAGACAGAGGATCTCCAGAGAATGCAGGTCGCCCATGGACTCTGGTAACACTCCAGAGGAGCCTGTGGAGGACAAGTCCAAAATCTTCAAAGAGTTATTCCAAGTTGATTCGGGTAAGTAACCCGCGAGCTCCTTGTTGCCTGATAAATCGAGGCATGTCAGCTTTGGCAAAAGGAAAATTTTTGCTGCTAACATGCCACGCAATTTACAGGAACTGAGGCTGAGGACTTCCAGAGATGGAGAGAGATTCATTAAGTGACTCACGTCAATGCCAGACATGTTTAACCCATCGAGAGTGAGGACTCTTAACTTGGTCAAATTTTGAAGCAGCGTGTTTGAATTCGAACCTGATGGTCTTTCTGCTTTGTGAGACGAAGAAAGAGTGAGCGGACCCAATGTAGATAGTTCAGTGCTGTTTGAAGACCCAGCAGAAGAGTAGCAGCTAAAGTTCGGGGGGTGGCAGCCAAGTTCAAGGCGAATCACATGACCTGTCATCTGATCGCATGTGACTCCGGCCCACGAGCAACAATCCGTGTCAGCATTCCAGGAAAGCATCGTTGGTTTGCTGAGCCAAATGCCATCCGTTTGACAGAAGAAGGATGTCGAATTATTCGGCACCATTGCGTTCATGAACTGAAGCAGGTCAGACATCTGATCAGGACGACAGGGCGCTGCTGCCCTTAGAGAGGAAGGAGAGAAAAACTGTGAGTTGAGGGCTTGTATTCGAATGAGGAAAGGGAACAAAAACAGGATAATCAGACAAGATCCTATGGAGCATTCCATTTTTATTTAGAGTGAAATGCATATGCTGGCTGCAGTATCAACATTCGGCGGAGATGGCTTATATACCGGTGTTTGGAAAGTGTCAGGTTAAAATTTTAGAGATTTTTCATGGACTAGCAGGTCTTTGTTGAAGATTTCTCTTTACTGGTTGAGACATTGATCTGCAATAACTAGGAAATTCCTCCTTAGTTTTCTGCAACCTCGTATGATCTTGAAGAGACCGATAAGCTATTTATCCTTGTCTTTGTCAACTGTGCTCATTCCAAGCATGTGATTCGTTGTTGATGAGTCGAAATTAAATCACCTTCAGGATCTTCGAGCGTGAAACGCAACATGGCATTTGTCTATAATATTGGAAAATTGCAAGAGGCGATTGTTCCACAAAATACTATAGATAATCCTACAGATGGATGAGCCATGAAATGTTGCAGAGGTCATTGTTAAGTAATAGAACACCTTTCGTCCAACCTGAAATTATCATTACACGTTACTTGCTTCTGGGAATTAACCTCGAGAATAGAAATGGATCGATTTATGTTTTTTACCAAGCAGAAAGAGCTTGCATCTTCTCGTTTATGGCATATATCGTTAGAAAATAACAAGTTTCTGATGACTTGCGAGCTGCTAGCCAACAGGGCTTTATTTAACAACGCAGGACTAGAAGTTTGACAAATGCTTACGTGGTTGTTCTTGCATCAGTCACTCTAGAACTGCATGCGAAATGATGACGCCCGATGTGACTTGCGTTGAATAGTCATGCATGGGCCGAAGTTGCCATGACATAGATGGCTTAACCAAAACCAGGGACGTATGCATATGGATCTAAATTTTGGGTTGTTGAAGTTCGCATAAACAAAAAAATGTTGACAATTAGGAGGGTTCTAATTGGGAAATCCGAACGATGTCTCGTCATTCTCCGCTGTTTTCGTGCCTTCGAGGAATCTCTCCCAAGAGATGTCACTGTATTGGACGTTGATTCAACTTTTTTTATAGGCAGAAGTCAAAGTTTCATAATCCAATATTCATGTAGGAGGGGCCTGTCAGAAAGAAAATGGTGAGCAGTACAAAGCTGGACCTGATCAAATCAAACGGAATCAATATTCTCAGTTTGATAGATTGGACCAAAGGTAGTGGTTGGAAACGTCCCTTTGGACCAAGAGACCTTAAAGAATTCTGACTTGTTCATACAATATTTTCGGTAACTTCACAGGTTGTTAAACGAGATGCTTTGACTTTCGGAGAAGCAAGAATCTCGCAGCTACATCGCCCTCGCAACCGAAGGTTTTTTTCAGCAGTCTCCACAAACTTGTCTTTAGCAGTTTTGAAGTGTTGGGACTTTTACACCTTTTAAAAAACGTTTTATTATGACAAAAATACTCATGCAAAAACCCTACTTTTTTTCTCTTGTCGTCAAATACATTTTTGAATACCTCATTACCGTGTTAATCTTATAACAACAACAATAATAACGACAAAACATATAAAATGATAATTATATTAAACAATAAACGGCATTATCACTAATATTATATCGCTGCTATTATTATCATTATGTGGCCGGTGAAAATGGTACAGGAAAAAGTCTTAATAATACAGACATAAACTTCCGACCAAAAAAAAAATACAGACATAAACGTTAGTAACAACTCTACGACAACATAGTAGGGTTTTTTTTTTTTTTTTTACTGTGATTTGGATAGATGCAGCAATCCATAACAGTTTTTGTCAAATGCATTAGTTAATCGTAGTCACAGCATTCTACATTTAAAAGATGCTTTGCCAAACACATGCATTTCTATGCATCATAGCATAGTACAGCCACATCACGGTTACAGCTTTACCAAACAAACTTTGAGTCGTAGAAGCAAGGAAAAATTGCAAGATAAGTGGCAAGACAAGAGGATAAAGGGTCGAGAAGTTTAAAGGAGTTGCAAGAAGTAATGAGATGTTGTGAGAAGTGGAAGCGAAAAATTACTATTCGCCTCACAGGTTTTTAGGGTCATTGCAATGGCTTGTTCTCTCCGCTGCAAGACACGATTGAAGTGGAGACTGATTTCCTGGTCTTGGTCCACGCTCTCACGTGCCCTCACCAACTCACTTGGGAAGCCAATGTGCCACTTGGGAAATGTAAGGAAATTTTGCTCACTCTCTCTAAAGTTCATATTTTGTATTGCCCTAGAGAGGCCAACTCGGTTGCCGACTGGGTCGCTAAAACCCACCGGAAAAATGCATTACCTCCGGATTGGGTTTCCTTCCCCTCCCCTTGCTCTTTGGGAGTTATTATGTAATGACGCCTATCTCTTGGACCTTTCCAACTTTGAACTAGTTTAATGAGAAGTCCTTTTTCTGATAAAGAAAAAAAACTTACCCACCAGTATGTCAATTTGGTATAAATCCCCATGATCTTTTCAAATCGATTCCAATGTATACGACATTGCCTTCCACCAAATTCTTGTCAAAATGTCAACCACGTGCTCTCAAGTGACTAGACGGTCCTCACTTGAGGGGCACACAAATGTACAATAAATTTTGGGAGAATTTTATTTTGCTCTTAGATTTTCCATATACTAACAAATTGACCGCTGATGTGTAAAATATTTGCAATGTGTCCCTTAACGTTTTGAACTTTGTTATGATCTTCCCCTGCAATATTGTAAAATGATAACTTAGCTGAAATTACCGAAAAATGAAATGACACAAGGAAATGAAACGATACATTTCTAACGATCAGACATTATGCAAATTCTTTTTGAATAGATCCTTACTCTATTATATACGAAACCCATCTCTCCCTTCTGATACTAGAGGAGAATCATCCATATATATTGTAACTCTAGTAGACTTATTTAAAGGAAATGACATTGAGGTTATTTGTAAATCAATTTGAAGCATTATCTAAGGACTAATGGAGAGAGAGAGAGAGAGAGAGAGAGAGAGAGAGAGAGAGAGAGAGAGAGAGAGAGAGAGAGAGAGAGAGAGAGAGAGGAGTGGGTGGTGATGGCCGATGGTAATTGACAATATTGCTATGTTAGGTGAAGTGACAGTCGTTTTAGCAATCGTCAATGATTCGTATATTCTTTTTTTCTGGAACACTACTGTCAAGCCAAAGAGATAGGCCCTGTTTGGTTCAGCTTTTCGAGTCCATAAAGTCGAAAGCTAGCAAGACCAGCTTTGGGCTTTTGGCATTCCACAAATGCTGAAACCTTTTTTTCTCTTCCCAAATTGCCCTCACTCAAATTTCAATATTCCGATTATGCCCTTGTTACTGTTCATCTTCTTCACCGCGAGGATGGTCGATGAAGGGCCGGCGAGGGCGGATCTGGGCGGCGAAGTGCTAGCGAGGGGCCGGCGAGGTCGCCCGCCCCAAGCGAAGGCCACCTGGGGTCGGGCGACCGCCAAGGTGCCGTCGCCTGGGGTAGGGCAACCTTGCCGGCCCCTCACTGGCACTTCGCCGCCTAGATCCGCTCTCGCTGACCAGATCCGCCCTCGCCGGTCACATTTTGGTGAAGAAGATGAACGGTAACAAGGGCAAAACAGAAATATTAAAAATAAAAATTACCAAAGCCCTTTGCAAAAAAAAATTTACCAAACACTACTTAGGCCAAAGTAGCTTAACAAATTTTTTTTTACCAAACGCCACTTGCATTTCCCCAAGTGACTTTCACTTAAATGTATTTGCATTCCCCCAAATAGCATTTGAAAAGCCGAACCAAACGGGCCCATAGTTGTGTTGAGCAAGGGAGGGATCAGTCATTTTTGGGGGTGGCATAGCCCAAGTTGACCTTAGGTGAAATATATAATTCTAATTCTCGTTCTGGAAGGATGATTTTGCCCTCAAGTTCTCACCGATGATGGGTCGCGTGATGATGTAGCCAGAGCAATGCTAGGGGCACATTGAGATCGAGTTGAAAACATCAGGATGGTTTGCAATAAATTTGAAATATTGGGGGGATAAATTGCAACAACACTGAGAAAACAGGGTGGGAAATGGTAATTTGCCCGAAGTGGAAGCGGTGTGCAACGTGCGAGTGATGTGGCGAGAAGTGAGGGATGGTTTTCGCGCTTGCCTCGCATGCAAATCCTCAAATTCTTTTTTTTTTTTTGGTAAGGCAAATCCTCAAATTCTTCATCTGGCAGCAAGTACATAAATAGAATTTCTATTGAGAGAAAAACACAGGAACACATCTTGGACCTTTCCATTTCTTAAACCTTTTTACTTCCATTCACTTTTCCTTTTGATGCATTTCAATTCCTTGTAATTTTCTTTTTTATACACATTACTTTTTGAAAATGTACCAAAAAAGTTTTAATCCCGTTTCATTGGCACCAATTCAGTCGTAAATTTTTCAATTAGACCAATTTAATCCTAAGCATTTTCACATTGGTACCAATTCAGTCCATCCGACCAATTTAGGTTGGAAATTACTGATTTGGACTGTAACTGCCCTATGTGTCACGACTAGCACTGACGCGGAAATTTTGTTTAATTTTTAAATACTTTGTTCAAATTTTTTTATTAATTTTTTCCTCTTTTTTTCCTTCTCTTTTCCTTCTTTTCTTTTTTTCTTTCTTTTTTCCTTTTTTCCTTATTTCCTGTCACTAGTCACCAGCCGGCGAAGATCGCTGAGGAGGGCAAGGACTGGTGAGGGCTGGGCAAGGCTGCCCCTTACCAGATCCGGCAGGGGACCCTTGCCACAGGGTCCCCTCGCCACCATCGCCAATGAGAGGGCTGACAAGGGCTGGGTGAGGACACCCCTCGCCAAATTCGGTGAGGGCCGGCCTCGCCTATGGCCACGATGCCCTCACCAACCCTTTGTCACTGGCCATGGCTGAGTATT